ACCTGTTGACCAACACTGAAAATAATCCACCATATATACGAAAATAAACGCTACGCACTAAAATAGCTACATATTTCTTCTTAAAAGCAACTACAATCGAAAAGTATGCGAAATTATTTAGCATGCAAAGTTGATTGAAAAAACTAAATCTCTTTATATTTGTTTGGCTTATGTATGTATATATATATACGTGTAGTTCTTGTTGCTGTTGTAGTGTTTGGTGTGCCGTTAAGATAGTCAGAAATAGAGAGAAAGAGCGAGAGGTACAATAGATAATAGTAGAAAAGCCGTGCAAAAAAAGACAAAAAAAATTTACTAATCTGGGGACGACCAAAAAGCGAACAAAGTGCAAATAGAAAATTTAAATATTTGCTTAAAAATATAGAAGAAATAGAAAAACAAACTATTTATAATCAATTATAAGCCGCCTACTAAATTGCTGTGCAAATCGAAATAAAATTATTAATATAAAAACTATTATTATTTATTCGATTATTTGAGTGCATACAGAAATTATAGTGTTGTTGTTTTTGTGCATAATTAACGCAAAGTACAAAAGAAGTGCAAACCAAAAAGCTTTTCATAAACAGAGAGAGAGAAAGAGAGAGAGGTAGAAAAATAGTGTTTATTTTTGTGTGTATTTTGTTTGCTTTTGTTTCTGGTTATTTATATATGTATATTTATTGTTTGTTTTGCTTTTTTGTTTATTTTCGTTTCTGTTTGCTGTACCTGTTTCAAATATCCTCTTCATAAGCTCATCTTTATTGCAGAAATCCATATTACAACATTTAATTCTATACGAATTGTATTTTGTGCGACTGGAAAGGCATTCCAACGGCTCGCGATTCAGCTCGTAACGCTTATCGATGCAACTGTACAGCAATAGTAGACCAATATACAGTTATTTGGTAAATATGTTTTGTATTTTTTAGTTGTATTAAAGAGCAAGAGTAAGAGAGAAAGAGAGCGCCAGGCGAGCGAGCAAAACGAACGTGACGAAACAAACAGAGAGAAAGTAAGAGAGAGAGAGAGTGAGAGAGAGTAGAGCGCAGAGAGCAGAGAACGCGCGCGTGGCGTGTTTTGTTTTGATATCATTTCATTTTTGGCATTTTTTAAGTGATTTTATTTGGCGCTTCTTCATGATATTGGTTTTTGTTGTTCGGTGTACACGAGCGAGCAGGTGAACAGAGCAACAGAGGGAGAGAGAGAGAAAGAGACAGCAAATGAATTAGTAATACTCAATTTTTGTTGTTCTTTTTGTTTTTGCTTTCTTTTGTTGCTACTCATGTCTTTGAGCCCAGTTGCTAATTAAAAATCAGTCTGGTTAGTAGCAAAAAAAAAGAGACACAACAAAAACAACAAAAAAATGTATTAATTAGTAAAGGATTTAATTAAGCGAAAGCCCTTGTACATTTAGCCAAGACCAGAACCACAAGTTCAATTCTTGGTTCCGCTCTTGGGTACAGCTCATTCGCTCTTATATTAAATCCGTCTTTGAGCTTGCTGATGTTCCTCTTGCTGCTTGTTTGTTTGTTTTTTTTTTTTTTTTTTAGTAGTGTGCGCTGCATTAATATTTTTCGGTTATGATTCACTAACAAGTCAAACTCAACACGAGCATTATATATATAGTAGAGTAACGAGCTAGTTCAAAGAAACGAACCAACTGGAACAAAGCAACTTGAACGACGTGCGGTTTTTTTTTTTTTTTTTTTTTTTTGACTGTTAGAGAGGATATGAAACGGAGGCAAGTGGCAGGTGGTAGGGAGTTAGAACACGTGCACACAGCATAGCGCACCTTCGTAGCTAACCGATGGGCTAACCGACGCCGCCACCGACTCCTGGCGTCCACCAGGTGTGGCACTTTGCTGCTTGATAATCGGTCGCAGTTTCAGATTGCAAAAGTCACGATCATTGCAGCACGCATGGCCGCCCCGACGTGCGGCTGGCCGAGCCGTTGGCCCGCCTCGTCGGCCCTCGTTGCACCAAATGAAACGGCCCGGCGGGAAGCTCTGCGACATGTTGAGGCAGCTACACAACGAATTTATGCAACACACACAGACATTCAGAATTTCTCCTGTGCTGTTGTTGTTGTTGTTGCCTTTGAGCAATGGCAGCAAAAGAAAAACTTACCGAAAACTGAAGATTATCTTGCTGTCGGTGTCCTTCTCCACAGACGTAAAACAATAGCCATCCGTTTCGCAGATATGATTGGTCTCTTTGCAGATATCGCAATGGCATTTGATCGCCTCTGTAACGTTACATAAATAAAGGGAAATTTAATATAAATTGACTACAATGGAAGATTCCAATGAGAATTCATTCAAAATTAATTTGCATGTCTCTATCAGCTACTTAGCTAAAAACTTCCCATATTAGGGTAATAGAAATTCAACAAATCAAAGAATCCCACTACATATTTCTTTTCAGTTTGACTATGCTTAAATTTCTATATTTATACAAACATCGCATAGAATTAAGACCAACATATTTTATAAATGTACCTATATCAATTTATTTTGCAACGCAAAATCAAATATATATAAATTAATAAATATTCCAGTTTACAAGCAATCGAACATTCTCTATTACAAACTCTTATTTAAATTTCCCTTTATTTTATGCGCATAAATTATAATCCGATTAGTCATCAACACTCTCTCGATTATAGATCCCAAACTCGGTAAATTAAATTCCCCTTAATTTCCTTCATTAAATTATAAATCCCTTCTCTCTGTTGATCCTTCCATTCATTATTCCCAAACTCGGTCAACCAAATTCCCCTTAATTTCCCTCCCATAAACATATAATTCCAATCGGCAACAACAGCTCTTAGCCATCAACTCGTGAGCCAAACGTCGCTTTCTGTCCAATTAGCAGCCCGCTGCTAGCTGCCCGTTTAAAGATTCATTAATCATAATTCGGTCTCGTATTGATTTTCTTAAGCGATCGCAGACATGGCTTAGCATTCCCCGCTACCCGCTACCCATTGCACGCTCGTTGCTCTGGCCAAACAGGGCCTGAAGTGCCGCCGTCGGAGTAGGCGCACTCAGATTACAAAATGAAAAGAAAAACAAAAGGCATTTAGCATAAAAAAAAAGAAAAACAACAACAAAAACAACGACAAGCCGCGACGCGCCGAGAAGACAAGTGCAAAGCGGAAAGCATAAAGAACCCAGACGAAGTCGACGTCGCTGCCGGCGTTGCGCGCCAGTTTTGTTTAACTGCTGGTGCTGCAGTTGCAGTTGCATTGCTGCAGTTCAAGTTGCGGGGGTGGGAGACTGCAGTCGGCTCGTGTGGGGGAGGCAGAGCAGCAGACACAGAGTAGGAGAGGGAGAGGGAGAGTGGAAGGAGGGCACTTGAGCGCTTTGTCTGCAGCAGTCGGCGCATTGACATCGACGCTGACGCTGACGTCACAAGGCGAGACACGTCAGAGACAGCGACAGACATAGAGACAGACAGACGAACGGACAGACAAACGCTTGGCGGGCTTTCAACTCGCTCGAGCTGCTTTTTGAGGTGTTAAAGTCACGCGAGGGCCGTTGGCTGCTTCTTATTGGACTTACTCTCGTGTTTCTTGTTCTGCAACGGCGGGAATGTGGGCGCCGACTGGCGCAGCTGAGGGGAAGCCGCGACGGCAGCGTCTGTTGCGTGCAATTGTAGGGGCACTAAGCTGCTGTTGTTATTGTTGTTGTTGTTGTTGCCATGGCCGCTGTTATCAGCGTAAGGCAGCGACGATTTGGTTAGATAAGCGCCAGCTGTTTCATTTCTTGTTGTTGCTGTTGTTGTTCTCGCCGTCGTTGTTGTTGTTGTTGTCGCTGCTGCTGCTGGCAACAATTTGTGGTCAGCTTTGCCACCGCCAGCTTCATTTGTGGTATTTATAACGATCTCAATGGGCGAAGCTGCAGAGCGAAAGAGAGAGTATGAATTTAGGTTAGTTTCGCAACTCCAATAAGAAAACGTTATGTATGTCTGAAAGGGCCAAAGAAGAATATCCTGCAACTTACCGCAGCTGGCGTTGAGCAGCGCCAATAGGCAAAGCAGTTTTGGCCACATATTTGTTTTGTATTTGCTTTATGATAAATGCGCTTGTTATTGTTTTCTTGTTTGTGCTTTTCTTTTGTTTTCCGCGCGCGCACACAAACAGACACACACACGCACACAAGCACACGGCTCAAAGTCTGTGTGGGGAGCAAAAGAGGCAACGAAACTTATTTTTCACTCCTTGACGACACAAACAAAACTATGCAAAGGATACGGCAACGCCGACAACTAATTTGCTTTGTATTGCGCATTTATTGCATAGGACACGGTTGGGGGCGGTGGGCGTGGGACGTTTTTTTGGAGGGGGACTCGAAGTCGGCCTCGCGCTCTGCTTGCGCCCGCAGCGAGCTTACATTTTGTTTGTGCATTCGTTTCAGTGAGTTGCCACTATTTTGTTTGTAGAGCACCTATTCGTATTTACTTTTGCCAAATTTAGCATATTTGGTTAAAACACACACAGTTAAATGCGTTGCGATTAATCTGACACAATTCGTTCACTTCTTGCAAATCCCAATTAGAAAAATTCACATATCCCCTCCCACTTTTTACGTTGAAGTTTTCAGCCGTATTTTCATCACGTGAGTTTGGCACGGTAGCCGCTTAGTTTTTAATTACAACCTATTTACACTTGTGGCCAGCACTTGGAATTGTATTGTGGAGGTTTTTGTTTGCCTTAAATTGTATTATTTATTTGTTATATATGCAATTTGGTTGAACGAAATCAGCGGAAAACTCGTCTGTGTGCGAGTGCTTTTGCGAACGATGTGGACAGTGTGACCAACTGCTTGAATTGGAAAAATACTTTCTTTGAATGGAAAAAAATACCAGTCCCCATAACAACATAGCGTTGCCATCTGCAGCACAACCAGTGTCACCACAAATAACGAAAAATTAACATATTTTGATCTGATTAAATTTATTTAAATATGCACATACATATGTGTGAATAAATATATATATTTATATATAGCATTTGTTAAAAGTGTTTAACAGAAATTTATTTCCTCCTGCGTTTCTTACAGGTCCTATAACTGTTGAACTGCCAATTAATTAACGAAAACATGTTGTCAATTTAACGATGAGAACACTGCCGTTGTCATTGCAAACGATTGATGAAAATATTTATTGCCACAAAAGGCTTAGGAGGGATAAAGGTGGCATTCCAGGCTCCGCACCCTTCGAAAATCCTTTATATGCACAATATAGAAAAGAAAACATTGTTGTCAGTACGATAAAATCAATAAACATGCTGCCGCCGCTGGTGCACGTGCTCTCAGCACTATTTACCTAAATACAGGACCATTGGGACAAATCCCCAGTGGAATGTGGTTTGAATGATATCGACAACGACTCCAAGACGCTCCTTAGCTCCATCGGAAAGAACCATCTTGATTTGTAATTGTTGAACAATGCAAGACTTGAAGAACACACACACGCTCGTATTATGAAATGGATTTGCAACGAGTTACCGACTGTAAAAAAATAAGACAGTGTTGGTAAAGTTCTGAATTTTCTTCATAATTTTGATGTGATATAAGTGCCGCTTACAACGCAATTGGATAAGTGAAATACTGAGAACGAAACATAGATTTTAAATAATTTATATAATCTGTTTTTCCTACGTGCGAAGACTACTCTAATCTGAGAAAACTGTAGAAATGAAATTAAATCATAGGGCTGCCATATCGCATAAGGATTCGATACAAAATGTAAACAAAGTTACCGGGCTACCTGATCTTGAAATGAAAACGCGTGTGCAGCAGGTTCTTGTTAGCGATGGTAGCGTGATAAATAATATTATCGTGTTGACAAATATATTGCAATACGTTTAAATTAAATAAATTTGTGTTATTTATATTTCAAATAATTCTAGAAAAATCGTTTTTTAGGATGTTTGGGAGAACAATGTGTCAAGTCGTGCCGACTCGTGCTTACTCGTGCATAAGTTTTTAACTCACATGGGCACGAGCCCAGCCCTAGTTCTTTTCATTAGCAGCCCTGTCAGATGGTGTGGCGTGCTCGCTAGAGAATTTTGTTTGCTTTTTATTTATTAATACAATTAAATAATAAACGCAACGCAGAACGCTCGGAACTGCATAATAGAGGAGACGTCGAAAAAAGCAGCGCGCCTTCACTKAACTCACACACACACACATCATGTAAGCGATTAGCAAGTGTCGACAACTTTCACACTGACATTTTCCAACACAATGAAGCAGGGAAATAAAAAAAAAAGAGTGAAAAATCAATTTTGTATTATGTAAGCAGGCCTCTGCTCAAAACTGAAATTTTTATTTATGTTGCAGATAATAATTGATTGTACGGACCATGAAAACAACTAGTATCGGATTATATGCATTTCGTTTAACCTTCGGACAGGTGAGCATACGCAAAATAGCGAATTAATGTGAACGCAAAGTATTGGCAAGTGCAAACAAAAATATATGCAAATTCTTAGGGAAATGACGCGTAAATAAAATTTCCCAAAACACGGTCTCTAAAGTCCCATACACACATACACGCACACGTACATGCACTATGGAGAGACTGCAACCGGGTGATGCATGTGTGGAATGCTCCAGCAGAGGCGTAAACCACAAGTTGCGCTATTTTTATATAAATCTTAATGAGCAGTTGCTCAAGTGCGAATCGCGTCGCTGCCTTTGGCCGCATACCGATGCCGTTTCCTCCTCTTCCTCTTCCGATGATGAGCAGGAGACCATCCGGTCACCGAAGCACTCGCTAAATTTGGATGACGATGAATTTATTAAGCAGCTGCTGGAAAATCTGACCCCAAGTACAGAGATAGCCGAGGCTTCGACGAAGGCAAATAATTCCAAGTGCGACTCCAGCTTAACACCAAATGTCCCATCGAGCAGCAATGCTATTATGGATCTTTTGGAAGAATCTCATCCGCCTGCAACAACAACTGCCCCAGTAATATCTATGCCGAATATATTTGGTGAATTTGAGCAGCAACCTGAGCAAACTGCATTTAATCTCGAGCCTGTGAATGCTCCTCCATTCCAATTGAGTACCAAGGCTGGAAATTTTGCCACTTCCATTTCGCAGGAGTTGCCCACACCCAAGATCCCACTGGAAAAGGAGTTGCCCACACCTATGATCCCACTCGAAAAGGAGTTGCCAACACCTATGATCCCACTCGAAAAGGAGTTGCCCAAGGCGAGTACCTTTCAGACACCGCCTAGAAAAGCATCCACACTGCCGCGCTCAGAGTTGCATTCGAAGCCAATGCCACCGACCGCACCCACAACAAATGCATCATCAAGTACAGCCGCTAGCCAGTTCCTGAATGCCCTAAAAGCGCAACCAGTGCAAGGTGCACGGACTAAACGCACCAGACAACTCCCCCGCCCCGAAAGTTCAAGCGGTGGAGGCAGCCCCCGATTCAGCACTCAAGATATCAAGCAGACGCTGGAACGCATCAGCAAGCAAAAGTAGGGCAAAGCTTAAAGTGAACCGGAACCGGAACTGGAGCAGGAAGCGAATATCTATGCAAATGGACAGCAGAAGGAAGCGAATAACATAAACAAACCAAAATGATTTTTGGAAATATTCGCAAACTGAATTTACAATAATATGAGAGAGTGTGTGTGTGAGTGTATGCAAACAATTCCCATTTATATATAAACATTCAAGACTATTGACGGTCACCGTTTTATTTATGCTCGGCACGCGTCCACCGCATGTTGAGCAATGGTCGCCAAATCGGGCGATAGCGCCGCGAGAAATTACAGATTAAGAAAGAAGCAGAGAAAGGAGGCAAGCGGGTCAGAGCAAGTGCGCCACGAGATGCAATTCGATGCGAAGCGCAGCCGCTAACAGATGAATGAAATGAACAGTGGTACAAAGGCTATTGAATGAGTAAAACTTTAAATAATCGGATAAGCAAAAATCTGAGATAATTTAAAGAAATGTGATAATAATAAATAAATAAATCAAATAATAATAAAATTTCCCATAAAAAAGGAAACATGAACAAATATAAAAAAACTACAATAAAAATAGTTTTTAAATACTAAAAGTATGTTT